AATAATCAATATCAAGGGTACGTATTATGCACAGCTACAAAAAAATCTTTAAAAAACTGCCGTAAAATAAAACAAGAATTATCATAAAACTAAATTAGAATAATATGATTCTATTTTTAAAATCATTTTTTTAAATAAGAGTAGAAAACGCTGGCCGTAATGAAATTCGAGGTATAATTTATAGGGTTTGATTTCCAAACAAGGGGTGCGTATTATGCATGAGTAGAAGCATTTTCTCACACTTTCAGCACAATTTTAGGTGTTCGTATTATGGATGAACGTATAATATACATGGGGAATTGCGGTAATTTAATAGGCGAGAGGTCAGTATTCTGAGATGGCCAAGTCATAATTTAAAAAATATTTTCTTTTGAGGTAATATTGTCGTAATTTAGAAGTGTTTTTTGGATCGCTGTCTTGTTGAAAGGTGAGTCTTTTTCCAGTTATGCGTAAATCACATGATACAAGTCTTTGCAAAATGAATGATATTGTTCATTTTTTCATGATTCCTTTTAATCAAATCTCCTACCCTTTCTCCCGCCAAAACACCTCATACACCATAACAGACCCACCACCATGCTTAACCGTTGAAACCAGACATTCATCTTTAAATTTCTTGACTTTCTCCTCATACACTCTCATCTTAGTATCGAAAAATTCAAATTTGAACTGGTCTGCCCACAATAGATTTTGCCACTATTTCAATGGCCAGTTCTAATGTCTTTTTTGCCCATAACAGCTTTTGTTTCTGCTTATTCACCTTTCAGAGGTTTCTTAACAACTATGCACCCACTGAGAATCTGTTGTCTTGTTGAAAGGGAATTTTTTTCCAATTATGTGTAAACTAGATGGTATGGTATATCTTTGTAAAATCGAACGATATTGCTCGTTTTTATGATTCCCTTGACGTAAATAAAATCCCCCAACCCCTCCCCTCCAAAACACACCTACATCCTAACAGACCCAACCCATGCTTATCTATTGGAACCACACATTCATCTTTCAGGTTTTCTCTTTGGCTTTCTAGCATGCAAATCCTCTTACTATCAAAATGTTCAAATTTGAAATCATCTGTTCACAATACATTTTGTCACTATTTCGATGTTCACTACTTATGATTTTTTGCCCATAAAAGTATTGTCTGCTTATTCAACTTCCATAACAGAGGGTTTAATGGCTATTCACCCGCTGATTCAAGTCGATTTTTTACAGTTGTGATTGACATTGGTTTAAGTCGATAGGGATCAAGTTCAGCTTTTCTTCTCAATAGTCAAGTGTTTATCTTCAGCAGCAGTTGTCAATTTCGGTGCACCAGCCCTTTTTTTCTCAACATTTGCAACTGCTTTTGTAACGAATATTGCACTCCATGTCTAGAAATTTCCAACTTCTTGCCAATTTAACTTCGAGAGTAGTCTTCTTCAAATTAAATTTTAATTTTTACCCTCACCTCAGTGCTTAGCTGCTTCGATTTTGCAATTTTGGGTAAATTGTTTAAAATTATAAAGAAAAAAAAATCTTCAAACACAGACAGCAACATTAATCAGTACTGAGTTAAAGTTTGGAACCTATATTAACATTTAACTTTTTTTCTTTTTTTTAAAATAAATCACCCCCAAGCAAGGCGGGGGTGCCACTATTACGCAAAGGGTTACAGAGAGTGAGAGTAAGAGTAAAGAGGAGTGTTTGGGAAAAGGTTAAAGAGAAGGACAGGGATCAAGGTCAAGGTATAAGAATATGTCGATTGATATTACATTTGAATATTTGAAGATTATAGCTATCAGGGAAGCAAGCGATAGGAAGGGAGTTCCACTGATGGGAGGTGCGTGATAAGAAGCTGTTGGAGTAGAAGACTTAGTTAAAAAAATGTTGGTAATGTCAAAATGCTTATTGAAGTGTTAATGATAACATAAAAAGTATTCATAATTTAGCAAAACGTATTGTGGACAGACGAAACCAAACTTTTCGAAATGAATAGTAACCTGGAGAAAGACTGAAAAATATAAACAAATACACTGCAGTAACTGAAATTTTATCTTTTACTTTTAACAAATGCAAAAATTCATAGTGGCTCCAAATGTTTTGCCTGTAGCGTGCATTTTATAGTGTTAATTGATCTATCATACCGTCCCGGGTAAGACGATAAACTACGTCCAAACAGCAAGGCCTCTGATCAGGAGGCTTTGAGAAGCGTGGAACCACCTATTAATTGCTGGTGTTCCCAGGTCCACCCTGACCCGGAGTGGTAGCACCTCTTATGGTCCCAGCTATGGGCAAATAGTTAACCCCGGACCTGAGGTAAAAAGCATTATAAAAATGTAAAAAATATGTTTTAATACCAGAAATACTTTGTAAAAAAATTATTACCAGAAATAAATTTTTGAAGAAAAAAAATATTACCAGCAATACGTTTTTGAAAAAAAAAACTATTACCAGCAATACGTTTTTTAAAAAATATTACCAGGTATACGTTTTTGAAAAAATAATATTACCAGCTATTATATTTTTGAAAAAATAATATTACCAGCTATTATATGTTTGAAAAAATATTATCAGCTATACGTTTTTGAAAAAATAATATTACCAGCTATACGTTTTTGAGGAAAAAATATGACCAGAAATTGGTTTTTGACAAAACAGTAATATTACCAGAAAAAAAGAAGTTGTCGGTATTAAATGACCCTTTGAGGTTGATATGCCGTAAAACAAAACAAGCCAAACCAAATCTGTCGTACTTTTCTGTTTTAAATGGCTTTATTATATTTCGATATAACAAAAACTAGGAAAATAAAAATGAAGTTTTCCATTAAGGACGAAGAGAGAAATAAATATTGTGAACATATCAAATACCTTTTGCAAACAATTTTTATCAACACCTACTGACTTTATGTTTTATTATCTATTGTTCTAATTGAGTGTATTTGCAATCTTCCTGTTTCTAATAAGAGGTTTCTTAAGTTGAGTATAAATTTCTGAAAATATGTACTAGTGTATAATACGACTCGCTTTTATTGCCTCTAAATTGACTTGTGTATAATAGAACTCACATTTGAGCCCTGAGCACCGCTTTATCGGTGGTAGATAAAAAATAACGTAATGCCCAGCTACCAGTTGAACGGTGGTAATGAAAAATGACTTAATGCCCATCCACTAGTTTGAACGGTGGGTAAAGCTTGCTAGATAGATAGATAGATAGATAAATATATAGATAGATATGAACGGAAACTCAAACAGATAGATAGATAGATAGATAGATAGATAGATAGATAGATATACATAAATGAGAATAAGATGAATGCGAAAAGAATGAGATAGATAGATAGATAGATAGATATGAACGGAAACTCAAACAGATAGATAGATATAAACGGAAACTCAAACAGATAGATAGATAGATAGATATAAACGGAAACTCAAACAGACAGATAGATAGATAGATATAAACGGAAACTCAAACAGACAGACAGATATATAGATAGATATAAACGGAAACTCAAACAGATAGATAGATAGATAGATAGATAGATAGATAGATAGATAGATATGAACAGAACCTCAAACAGGCAGATAGATACATAAATGAGAATAAGATGAATGCGAAAAGAATGAGATAGATAGATAGATAGATAGATAGATAGATAGATAGACAGACAAAAGTGCAGGTTTATGTAAGCAGTCAGATAGATAGATATACGGACGAACATCTGCTTGCAAAACGGATAAGTTTACTCAGATACGTGTATCCACTAAAATAAAATTTATCGTAATAAAAATAATGTTTGATTAAAATTTATAAAATCTGAATATCCATAGTCTATTGATTCATCTTTAAAACTTATTTACAAATATAATAATCTAGTCTAGCACAAGATTTTTTTTCAGTAGATCCTCCGTTGGGATTGTATTCTCTAATTTAGTGTTGTAGAGTAGTTTTCACAGTGGAGGCTTGTATTTCACTAAGTCGGTTCTAAATTAGGTTCGACGTACAAAACGTTAGGAACTTGAAATAATAGTTAATGACGCAGCAATCTAGTTGTGGTGGTTGATACTTTAATGTCCGACATCGACTGACTCACACAACTCCACTGAGCCCCCAACTGGCGACTGCTACTACTACTACTACTTATTATCTGTGGGAGAGTTCTATTTACAATAGAAATAGGTACGTTCCGGTATAACATTTAGCTTGATAAGGGAGTATTTGACGTAACAGTTACTGAAACAAAAAACATGAGGAAAACGAATGCTTATGTCTATTTGTCATTACTTCTTTGAAAAAAGGAATGAATCTAATTCTCCCTGCAAGCACACTCAAACTCTCTGTCTTTATCTCCTTTTCTCTCTCTCTCTCTCTCTCTCTCTCTCTCTCTCTCACACACACACACACACACACACACACACACACACACAATTGACAGATATCTTACTGAAATCGGAGTTGGTGTGCCACGATTCATGACTTGAATGTCGATGAATGAACAGACAAGCTATCACTCTCCTTACTTTTCCAGTTCGTAAAAGTGAATAGCTGTTACATCTGTAGTCATCCTTGACAGCAGCATCATAAGCAGAGGTAAAAAGATGACTTGCTTTTTTTTAATTACTATTACACCCATGTCCTTATGGCTTTCAAGGAAAGTATTTCCGCAGAATGTCTTTATTTAAGTATTAACTCTGTTCGATTTTTTTCTTTCCCTACTTAAAAATATATTGATTTACAATTCATCTTAAAAATGAAAGGCCTAATATCAATTTAGAAAATTAATAGCTATACGCCTCTCCACATTTTGGTTCATTACATAGCAAATATTAGTTCGCTCTGACATCACTGATAGCGAAGATTGTAAATAGCTATCACATTGATTTAAAACACAGTAATTTCGAGGGTGAGTGGGACAGAGTAAATAAGTTTTAAATTGAAACAAAAACACTCTCCCGTAAATCTTGACGAAATGAAGAAAAATCGTGTAATAAAAAGATGTAATGAATATAAGGCTTTAATTTTAGGGAGATACAGAGTGAGAGATATATAGAAAAAAAGGAATAAAAGGAATGAGATAGATAGATAGATAGATAGATAGATAGATTGATAGATAGAAAGAATAAATATTGAAAAATGGATTAAAATATTGAGAGAATAAAAAATCGATCGAAAGATCAATATAAGGTTGAATCTTGATAGATTAAAATATTGAAATATTAAAAATCGATCGAAAGATATATAGAGATTAAAAATGTTTAAACAGAAAGATAGACTAAATATTGAAAGATAAGTTAAAATATTGAAAGATTAAAAATTCAATTAAAATTAGATAAATAAATTAAATATTGATAGATTAAAATATAGAGAGACTAAAAATCATTCGATATATATATATATATATATATATATATATATATATATATATATATATATATATATATATAAAGAGAGAAAAAGAGAGAGGGGTTAAAACTAGATAGATGAAATAAATATTGACAGATTAAAATATTAAGAGATTAAAAAGTTGATCGATTGATCGATAATTCAATATATATTAAATATAAATGGAAGAAAGATAGATATATTAAATAATGATAGATAGATTAAAATATTGAGAGATTAACAATAGATAGACAGAAAGACAGAGATTAAAAATAGATAGAAATATAGATTAAATATTGATAGATTAAAATATTGTGAGATTAAAAAAGATAGATAGATAGATAGATAGATAGATAAAAATTAAAACTACAGAGATTGATAGATAGCATAAATATTGATAGATATTTTAAAATATTTAGAGATTAAAAATCTATCTATTGATCGAAAGATCGATATATATTAAATATACATAGATGGGAGAGAGATAAATTCAAATATAGAGCTTAAAAATCGATAGATAGACATATAGATAGATTAAATATTGATTGATCAAATATTAAGATATTAACAATCGATCGATAGCGAGCTAGTTAGATATCCGAATACAGGGTTGTTATAGATTGAATAAAATTCCGATAAGCAAAATCATTATTTTTTGTTTTTAAAAAATGCTCACTACAAATTAGAGCAAATAATATTTATCCAAAAATTATAACATAAAGCATGTTATAAAATCCTAACAAAGATAGCCATTTTGTTTCAACACTTCTGGTGTTTAATCAAGTGATGGTGTTGGCTGCGAAATAAAGAGTGTTTTTTTTTTTTTAAAATTCAAAGCCAAATCAAACCCCCTCAATAGGGGTAACCTGAGACGACGAATCAGAATACAAGTATATGAAAATTCCAAAAATATGTCATTGTCTTCTAAATACAAACCGTTAGTTAATTAAATTTAACGTTAGATTAAACTATAAATCAATACAAAATAATTACGTTTTAATTTCACGATAAAATTAAAAATTAAAATTTTCAAATTCTAAAGTATATCGATCGTTAGTTTTAAAATATTACAAAGTTATTCAAACATGGAATATGGAAAAGATATATACCACATAACACCCTTGAGCGCTTAACCTTGGAGCGGGTAGAATGTTTTAGTGGACTCAGAAGTTTTCAATCTCCTTGTCTGAATCATCTTCAAGAAACGAGAGCAAGATCTAAAAGATCAGCCAATCTAACAGTGATTTCACCTCAAAATCCTCACTCTTGCTCCATATGTGGCCTCCTTTGTAAATCACTAGCGGGTCTTAATTGCCTTAAATTTCATAACTGAATCAATTAAGCTGTCAGATCCTCATACGTCGAAACCGACGGGAGAGTCCATTATTACTATTCTAAGCTAAGTGCCAATTTATCCGGTAAATTCGACGCTGATATGAAAAGTATCAATAAACGCTACTAACATTAGGCACGAGTGGGTTAGATTATACAGATGACACGACAAACACATTCGCATCCTAATATATAGACACTTAAATATAACTAAACACATATGCACGCCAATGTAAGAATGACACAGGAAATAGAAGAAAACTAAATAAAAAAGAAAGAAAAAGAAAAAAAAGGGAAAAACAAAAACAAAAAAGGGAGAAAAAAAAATAAAAATTAAAAAAAAAAAAATAAACGTAAAAATAAAGACTAAAAAGACGATGAAAAGAAAAGGAAGAATAAACAAAAAAGTTAAAAGGAAATTACACCGGAAACAAGCGTATATACAGGTAAAACCAAATACAAGCAATCACACACCCGTACTCATATGAAAATCACACACCCGTACTCATATGAAAATAACTAAACTCACTAAGATTCAAGTACAAATACAATAATAAAACGACACAAACTACCCATCAAAATGTTATATACATGAACAAACATATAGGTAAAAAAGGGGGGTAATCAAATAAAGGTAATAAGGTGAAGAAAATTACGCATGTATGATGCATAATTAGTTGAAATACACATATCAGGTTATAAACAAACCAAATAAATAAAAGAAAAATGGCGTATACATGCAAAGGAATATAAACAGTCACGCATATACATATTCATATATAAAATTAAAAAAAAAACTAAAAACTAAATCCGCAAGTTCAATATAGCACGTACACATACAAAAAAGTATATAAATAAAATTTAAAACACACTGATATGCCTACATATACACATAGATGTTAAAAAATGAGAGATAGAAAGACAGGTAGATAAACAGATATATTCAAAATATTTTAATCTATTAAAAATTTACATAAATATAGATAGAGAGAGTGATACCTCGATCTATAGATATAAAATACATAGTACATAGATTACATAGATAAGAAATAGTTAGATACATAGACAGATAGATAGATAATAAAAAAACCTGACATAGATACAGACATATGAAGAAAACAAAACATATACATAGACAGGCATAAATATAGATAATTTGGAATAGATATGAACCGTTAAATAGCTAACTATCAGGTCATTCCATAAGTTCTGTCCGAATTTTACCTTTTTTTTAAAACGAACGAAATTTAAAGAGTATTTTATAATGTCTAATGTAGCTGGACATTATTTTTATGTTTAGATGCATTTAAACTGATCAAATTTTATTTCAGAGAACAATAAAATTAAATTTTGTTTGATTAAAACCCTGCTAACATGGAAGTACCCAAAAATCATTTGAGGCACATAATGCTTTATGAGTTCAAGAAAGGAAACTCAGCAGCCGAAGCGGCTAGAAACATTCTGTGGCACCTTGCATTATTAGAAATATTCATAGAAATATGATTTAATTTTTTCTTACTCGGTTTACTAAACAGGTTGTTGATTTTTTTTTAAAACGGAAAATAATTGAGTTGAAAATAATTCACTAAGATTGTACTTAGACGATCCTAAGGGAAGAAGAGGAAGAAAAAAGAAAGAAAGAGAGTTGGATGATGCATGACCCAGTCATAAGCGAAGATAAGTGTCAGAAAGATATCTTGGCCTGCGTGTGGCCGAATTTTTAAAGACAATTGGAAGAATAGAATTAGAAATAATAAGAAGAAAAGAAAGGGAAAAGACATGATATCAAAACGGGCCGCTTGATGAAAACCAGATATCGGTCAAAACATCTGACCTACTTTTGCGTAGAAAGACTCATTATCAATTTGGAGTAAGGGAAATTTTAAGAGCGAAATCTTAATCAGAGAAAAGGTGCTTTTTGGGTTGAGGGGAGTGACCGGTGGAACTATATACAGATCCTGACCTATTAAGAATTAGAAACCTACGATAATAAAAGGGGAACATTTTCAATGTAGATAATTAAGATTTTCTGACTGTCGGGTCTGACAAAGACGGGAGGTGAAGGGACGATTGTCTCAGTTCACAGATAGCGCCAATATTCTTCCTGAAGTCACATCTAATTAGCGGCGGGCTGTTTGACAGAGCCCAGGTGAGAGAAAGCCAAGATTGTCATTTTTCGTACGTGCAGAAAAGGCAATATTGGATTTTGTTTTTTTAAAAACAAGAACGATGTAACCCCGCCCGAAAGGAGGAGAAAGGATGCTCGATCAATAACAAGTGGTCGGAAACGGTCACGTGATCTGCAGAAAAGAAGAGAAAGAAGTGCTCGATCAGGAATCATTGGTCGAGAGCGGTCACCTGACATACGAGGGACCGGGAAAGATGGGTGTGCGCCTCCCCACCAAAGGCACTGTGAGGAAGTAGGGGTGAAAACAATAGCGATAATGAGAAGACAGAAATAATGCGACTTTTGGAGTTATCGAGAAAACCCTGACGCCGACAGACCCACCCCAGTTTGTTGCGGCGTCAATAAAAGCAGGACCCCAGTCGACAGAAATCAGTTGGAGTGGAGTTGCAGCTGGACCGCGGGCAGGGATAGAGCCTGAACGCGGGCATCAGGCCCGATTCACTCGCCCCTTTGCGGGCAAGAGAATCCTCAGACAAGAAATCCTTCCACCCAAGTCGAAGACAAGAGAACTTCCAGCCCAAATCGAAGAAGAAGAAGATTGCTCGCAAGCCTCAGAGAAGTTGCAGCCAAGTCGAAGAAGAAGAAGATTGCTCGAAAGCCGCAGAGAAGTTACAGCCAAGTCGAAGATAAGAAGAAGAGCTGCAGGCCAGACAGGCCGAAGAATTGCAGGCAGACAAGAAGAAGAATTGCAGGCCAGACAGGCAGCAAGAGTTGTGGCAGAGTTACGGCAGAGTTCAGCCCCGGACGGCAGCGAGAAGAGATCACCTCGGACGACAGAGAGTTGCGGCAAGAGATCCTTCCAGCCCAAGTCGAAGACAAGAGAACTTCCAGCCTAAGTCGACGAAGAAGAAGAAATACAACTCAAGTCGAAGAGAAGAATCAACTGCGAATGATCGATAGAAATTAGCCCCAGTGTCGAACTAGACCACACTCCGACATACATAATTCTGAAGAGTAGACAACTATAAATCTTTAAGTTGTATGATAGAGGCTTGGTGCCATAGTCCACAAAGCGGGTCGGGAAATAAGAACAATTTTTCTTTATGTAACGGACATTAGATATAAAAGGTTGTCACCCTTTTTATCAGTAATTTTTGTCTCGTGAGTTTTTTTTTTCTTTTACTTGTGTTTTGCCACCCCGTCGGACTCAACTTGTATCGGCCCCAATCCCTGCTGGTCCCGTCTGTCTAAGATCTAAACACAGCGTGGGTAGACAGACCGGAGATCAGTACAGTTGCTTCAGTAACCAGGTATTGGAAGCGAGTTGGGAAAGGCGAGGCTGGTGATCATCCAACCAAGGGGTTGGAGCGGCACGCTTGGAACCAGGAGGAGCGACCAGGAGGAGCGACGTCACAGTTGGCGCCGTAACCAAGGGATTCGACCCTGGGCCAGGTGTGTAACCGTCACATGTGCTGCCGTGACCAGGATCAACACTGAGACAACCACGTCACAATTCACTCAGTTTATGGAGAGGAATATGTGAATGAAAGAACTTGCAGAAGATGGTGTGCAAAATTCAGAGGTGGAGATTTAACCCTTGAAGATGAAGATCGAACCGGATGTGCAGTTGAGTTTGAGGAAAAGCTTCTTGAAGCAGCCCTTGAAGAAAATCCTGCTTTATCAGTTGAGGAAGTGGCAGTGGTTCTCAGTTCAAACCATACAACTGTTCATCGTCATCTTCAACAACTTGGAAAAGTTCATAAACTTGGAAAATGGGTGCCTCATGAATTGTCTGAAAACAACCAAATCCCGAGATGACATCTACTCTTCTCTCCATTCTCACCAACTTGTTTCACCTTTTTTGGATAGACTTGTGACTGGCGACGAAAAATGGATCGTTTATCGAAATGTTAAGCGTCGTAGACAGTGGCTTGTTAAAGGGGAAGGATCCCAGCCACAGCCGAGAAGGGAAGTTCATGGGCAAAAGGTTCTTCTTTCAATCTGGTGGGATCGCCTAGGAATAATGCACTTTGAATTCTTACCACCTAATGCAACAATTAATGCTCAAATATACTGTCAGCAATTAGAGCGTTTGAACCAAGCTTTGAGGAAAAAAAACCTGCTCTACTGAAACGAAAAGAGGTGATGTTTCATCAGGACAATGCGCGACCCCACACAGCAAGAATCACGTCACAAAAGATCGAAGAACTTGGCTGGGAAAAAATTCCTCATCCACCTTATTCTCCCGATCTTGCTCCTTCAGACTACCATTTGTTTCGTAGCTTACAGAATCATTTGGAAGAAACAGCTTTTGTAACATAGGAAGAGGTTAAAACTGACATTTGTGAGTTCTTCGAATCAAAGCCAAAAGTATTTTACAGTAATGGAATTAGTAAGCTTGTTAATAGATGGAAGGAACTCATAGATAATCAGGGAAAATACATTGTTGATTGAATCCGTAATTAAATGTAACATTTGGTCACTTGTTTTCTTTATTCAAAATCCGGACAGAACTTATGGGATGACCTGATAAATAGGTTGATAAGAACTATTTGCGTCAGATAGATAGATAGATAGATAGATAGATAGATAGATAGATGTACATATAAAAAATGGGCCAAGTAGTATTTTTTTTTTTTTGGAAGCAACACATTTCTGATAAGTATGAATTTTATTCCGCCATTATTTGAGTACGCTGAGCAAATAAATATAAAAAAAAACATGTCTGCTAAACAGACAATTGAGTCTATACTGTTTTAAATTACATGCGCTGATTCCATCTCTATATGCAGAAGTAACTGAACATGGCAAATTTTTTAGATTTACGCATATCATATTAATGTTCAAAGTTAATATTATATTAATAGTACATTAGTGCTGTATATAGTATATTTACGTTCAAGGCAAATAATGGATTTATGTTCAAGGAAAATTTACATGACAATGCGCGACTAATCTAATATTTATAATTACTTATTTCTATTTTTATTGTTGTTTTCTTTAAAAGTAAAGACAAGAGTCATCCAATATGGCAGTGAATACTGGACAGTTTCCACAGAGAAGAAAAGGAGATTAGGTAATATAGATGGGATCCTACAGTAGTGTTAAATAAGAATTTAGCAGACTATTATATACATAGATAGATAGAGAAAGGGTTTTCGGGAGTCGTAGCTTAACCGTCGAACAATGTAGACGTGATTCTCGTTCGTGTCCGGGAGCAGTGGGGCGGGAGAGCAATCCCACTGCCAACCCCGACGTGTTTAATAAAGTAGCTAGGTTTTTAAATTCCCTTTCTTGATGTCTTTTCATCTCTGGACCCCCAAAGTATTTTACTGCCCGGCCTGGAGAAGACAAGCGGGAGAACAATGCAACTTTATCATCATCGATCGACCCCGTCAACCAAGACCTCTCCAGAACGAGGATAACTACGCAACAGTAGGATACTGAGAATACAATAGACAGAGCAGGTAAACACCGAATAAGTTTTAAGAAAAAGGGAAACAAAAAGGACACCTGTACATAGAATTAGAAAGAGACAGTCGAATATTCCAGGTACATAATGAAGAAGGATGGTTTGAAGAATATAACACACACGGGATAGACAAGAAGCGGGTAGGGAAACAACGATTAACGTATCTAACGAGCTGGTATAAATGGATGGAAGTGCAGTAAGTGGGGAAGATAGTAAGGGGACAGATATTGCTCAGATTTAGAAAGGATAGGAAGCTGTGGAGAGCGACAATTTCCTACATTTTGAAGGGACACTACACATCTTAAGAATAAATAGGATTAAACGTGTATGCGTACCCATTAGTCCTCAAATACTGACGTTCCATGCTGATGCTGACATTCCACACTACTTCAAACAAAAGTTTAGGAAGAAAAACCCCATCAGTACTGGAAAGAGCGATGACAGCTACTGAACTTGAGAAGTCTATCTTCCTGAAAAATTGTTTAAAGAGAATGATCTTATAAATTTCAACCAACAGTAGTACTTGCTGATCGATCAATGAATACCAAATCTTTCCTTATAAGGTAACAGCTAATATTACCATTACCCTTATATACTGAATCCAAGATATATTGAATCTAAGAGGTTCAGGGTAAACCGGACTTATGAAACCAATTTTCCTGAAAAATTGTTTTAAAAAAAAGAATTTATAAATTTCATGGATTTAATCGATCAATGAATGTTAAATATTTCCTTGTAAGGAAACGGCTAATGTTACAAAAACCCCTATAATATATTAAATCCAAGAAGAGCAGGGTAAACAGCGAGTACCCTACCTAACGAAATTGTATAAATGGATGACAGTACAGTGATTGGAGGGGACAGACATTGGTTGAGTTACAATGGATAGGTAATTGTGAAGAGCTATGATTGCTTATGTCATGAAGAGACAAATAACATAAAAGAAGTGTTAGTAGGATTATGTAGGTGTATGCATAGGTTTAGTGCTCCAACATAATAGGCTTACAGCTATATCTCGATGAAACACTTGGTTGATGCTGGAGATACCCTAGACAGACCATGTGGGCAACAGCAAGGTTTTAAGGAAAACGGAAATGAAAAGGGATATACTGAGTATCGGAATGAGATTAAATTTCTAGGGTGGTTAATAAGGAAAGAGGGCTTAGAGAATTTGACTCTCACAGAACAGACTGAAAGCTAACTATTTAGTAAGTTGCGTAAGTGTATGGCAGAACAAGAACGAGGATGTACAGTTAGGGCAACAAAGAATAGGAAATATTGGAGAGTCAAGGTCGCCGACGTTTCTAAAGAACACAGCACATAAAAGATGTTTGAAATATTTGCGTTTGTGTCAACGAGGTCCCTGAAGATTGACTTAAAACACCCACTGAATATATCATCGTGATTGTCGACAAAGTAACCAAAACAGTCCATGCCGTTTTTTTATTTATTAGAAAAAGAAATGTATGCTGCAAAACTGACATACTGTTAGTCCTCAAAGTAATTTTCATCGGCATCCAGAAACTTTTGCAAACTTGCCTCCAGGTTAGCAATCAGTTGGCGGTAATATCAAATGTCTTGGACTCAAAGAAGTCTATGTGTGCCTGCTGCAAATCTGCCTCATTTGCGAAGGATTTCCTACCGTGGTCCAGGAAAAGGAATATGTGGTAATCTGTTGGCGCAAAATGCGGGTGGTGGATAATGCGGATGACGCAGTGTCGCCCAGTCAAGTTGTTATATTCTACGTTATGGGTTGCTTCCTGTTGTCAAGAAAGCCGATCATGTCGTTTTACAGCAAGAAAATACTCACTTCTTTCCTGCTAGATCTATTAAAACATGGCCGAGTGAAAATAGTTTTCAAATAATATTTTGCTTGACTAATCCATGATAAGAATCCGACTGAGAATGCATACTTCAAGTACACACTGTCCGACCCAGGAATTGAACTCACAATCACTATGTCAACAAGTAAAAGTTTTCGTTTATGAACTTGGTGATATGATAATTGTGAGTTCAATCCTTGGCGAGGTTACTGTGTTCTTGTGTATTTGTACTGTAAACATGACGAGCAGTAACTAAAATATATTTTTTTTTATCGCATCATCCCAAGCGATGCGGGAATGCCACTGGTATGCAGGGGGGTTACTCAGGGTGATGGTGAGAGAAAAGACTGGGTATAACAGGTGGGGAACGAAGAAAGGATAAATGTTGAAAGGGGTTCAAGAAGATAGAAGATGGCGATTGACGTTATATTTGAATTTTTGAAGATTGTAGTTATCAAGGAAGCAAAGAAACGGGAGGAAGTTCCAGAGGCGGGCGGTGCGAGAAAAGAAACTGTTGGAGTAGAAGTGGCGGTTACATTGAACTAATTCAACAGTAAAACTAGACGCGATGCCCCGGGAGGGGACAACGGTCGAAATATTGTCATAATTAATAACAAAGATGAGGATAATAGCCTGCATGCAAATAACAGATAGATAGATAGATAGATAGATAGATAGATAGATAGATAATTCAAATAGACAGTCAGGTATGTTAAATATGAACATATTTTTATACCTAAGTTGATAGGCATTTTCCATGGAGAACAACGCCAAAAGAGAATTTACAAAGATGTGAATATGTTTCTCTTCTAACTGGCGATTTCATCAGACGATACCTACCTTTTACATCTAGATATGTTCCTGTATTCAGCCACCATCTTTGTATACCATTTTTCTTCGTACGCCATTTTTCTTTATTTCTAATCTGTTCAATTTCCAACTAAATCGATTTTTTTGGCTTATTCAATTTCATTTCCTTTTATTTACCTTTGTCCATTTAATAGCCTTCATTTTTTTTTTTCAGGAATATTCCTTTTTATTTCTCATTCTATTCCTTACATTTTTCGTGACATTTAAAAAATATATTATTCAAAAAAGACATTTTACGTTCGTAAGAATAATAGCAGTCCACTAAATCAAATAATAGACAAGAAGAAAAAAGAAGAAGAAAAAAAAAGAAAAGAAAAGAGAAAGTAGAAGAAGAAAAAAAGGAAGGATAAACAAGAAACATAACTACAAGAAAAATAAGAAAGGGTAGAAGGAAAAAAAGTAAACCAATAAGAAAATAAGGAAAAAAACAAAAGAGACAAAGAAGAAAAGGAAGAATATTCAAATAGGATAAAGAGAAAAAGAAAGAAAAAAAAAGAAGAAAAAGAAGGGGAGATAAAAAGAACAAAAGTAAAAGAAGAAGAAAAGTAGAAAAAAATCTCAGAAAAAAAAAGTTAAAAATTTACTTGAGCTGATGAAACAAAATGTGGAAAATGTCGATGACAGTAGTGCTAGTAACTATTGGTACACCTAGAACTGATCTGAAGAGCCTTCCACAGAGCAAAGTAGACCTGCGTGTACATGAAAAATTAGTAACCATCAAAATGGCAACCTTATTTCTAGGATATGTTGTGGTCACCTCCTTCAAAGTCAGGTAATTCTCCTTGATACCCCCCCACAACACAAGAACAAAAACTGAGATATCCAAAGGCATAGTAAGTGAAATTAAAACAATCTATCTCCTAGACTAAATAAAGGGTTCGGAAGAAGGCCGGAGCGTATAACGGCTGAAACGTCGTGAATGTTACAGTAAATATGAGAACCACATCTTACCAACACAAGATACGCAGATGACACAGTACTGATCGGAGACACGGAAAAGAAATGACAAAATCTCCGACAGAAGGTAGCGACAGAGAGTGAGAAGAAGTGACTAAGCATAAACTACAAGAAAACAGAATGCATGGTCATCAGTAAGAGGATGAGCCTAAAATGTGATTTGCGGGTCGTGAACACTAGAGTCAAGTAGACGCGGACGTTTAAATATCTGTGAAGCGTTCTGACAGAGGACGGCAAATGCGACACTAAGATCCGTAGATGTATTGGAATAGCCACGGACGCATCCCAAAAGCTGGGCAGAGTATTGCGAGACACGAGGAGTTTCTTTGGTAAGAAAGAAAAGAATAATGAGCTGTTATGTGACATCTGTCCTTCTTTACGGCATCGAATATTGGATGATTTCCTCAAAGATGAAGAAGAGACCCGAGTCGGCGGAGATGTGGTTTTACACGAGGGTATCATGGACCGAGCGTGTGAGCAAAGTCTTAAAGAGGTTGCAAACAAGAAGGAAGCTTTTACTTAATATCAGAAAGAGGCAGATGAAGTTTCTGGGACACATAATGAGGAAGGAGGGTCTGAAGAATCTGATACTCACAGGTCAAATAGTGGGAAAGAGAGACAAGGGAAAACAATGCCTGACAGACTTAGCGGGCTTAAGAAAGTGGACGATAGAACGTGGTCTGAGGGAGGTGGAAGATGGAACGAACTTGTTGAGAGCTGCAAGGGATAGAGGGAGGTGGAGGGCCATGATCGTCTATGCCCTGAAAGGACACGGCAAATAGATAGGAAAGAATGTATTCCATCCGGTATTTAATAGACATTTAATATATAAGTACATGGAAAATGAGAAAGGGCGGCATTGTCAGTGGTTAGAATTTAATTCTTTTACCGTTCACAAAAAATAAACTACTAATAAATCCGAATTCCTTTTCATATTAATATAGCAAGGAAAATCTTACTATAGAGTAAAATTAATTGAAAAAAAAAACGAATAAATTCCTTTATTATTAACTTTTTTCGTATTTTTCCAATGAAACATGACCCAGCGCACATGTTAAGACTTCGTATGTCCATTCTACGAAGTCTTTCCTTGCAGATTGACCACTAGATTCTTTTCTTTCATTTTTCTCTAACAGTATGACATGAACACATAGAACTTCTTATACTGCTCGGTATTAAATGACTTATCTGGCCTTCGTCTCAAGAAAGCGGAAGTTGTACATTGTCTTAAAGGTAGAAATATTTTCTGATTCCTTATCTCAGCGACACTGCGTTCATTTCGGGAAGGAAATTGTCACACATCGTTCGTTTCCGTGAGGCACAAGTCTATCAAATTAAAAGATGGCAAATGCAGCAGAACACAATTTCCAAAAACAAAAAGCCAATTCTCATTCAATTAGAAAAGGAGACCTAGAAACTGGCAAAAGATCGATCCTACACCCTTGTGCAAATCAATCGAAACAAAACGAATAATTCCTTTATTATTAACTGTTTTCGTATTTTTTCAATGAAACAAGACCCAGTTTACTACTACTTATATCCATTCCATGAAGTCGTCCCTTGCAGATTGACCACAGATTCTCGATTGGATTTAAATCAGGAGAGTTACTGTGCCAGTTGATAATACTTTGATTTGCTTACTATTAAGGTTTGCCAGTGTTTTCGTACAGCGTTACAATTTTCGTACGCGTACTTGGAGTAACGTCCATCCCAGACAATGGCCGTAGGACTACTAATCGACAGTCGAGACAATAGTTTCTGGGCGTGATGAAAATCTGATGCAATCATAGATAATGCAATATTTTTCAAGATCAAACAAATTTCATCATTCACCCCGAAAATTAAATTCATATTAATGTGCACCACTGCAAATGACCTAATCTGAGGAAAAAATAGAAATCGATTACACCCTCTAACCTAGGGTGTCTAAACCTGACCGTATAGTGAAAGAAAGGAAGCTAAAGCCGTTGTTTCAATTATTTTGCACAAGGAGGTTAATCTATTGTAAATTATTTTACTCAAGAGGAAATTCTTTGTCAACCGTTTGGATTGAGGGAGTGGTCCTTTACGGCTTATCAAAAGCTTGGATGTGCGGATGGTGTTATGAATAATTGCACGGAACTGTTAATTGGGGAGCCGAGTTCCAATAACTGTCGGGTTCGTTATATTCACTAAGAAGTCCTCTTGGGAAAGTTATAAAACCAACACACTTTTCCCCCTAGCTATGGGTTAATTAATAAGACTTGTATCACTAAATCTTAATTATCTAAAAAAAACAAAAATAAAAATTTTTGCAACCTAAAAATATATTCTGGCTTTAAATAACCTGCAAAGGGTTGATAACCCGTGGAAAATGAATCACTCACTCAAACCTTGAAGTTTTATTTAAAGATGAAATATATTCTAGAGGTTGCTTACAGTACCCGGTGTTTTAAAGCTGTCCCTCATCTAAGTACTGACCGGGCTCGACACTGCTTAACTTCGGTAATCGAACTGAGTCCGTAAGCGCCATTGGTTTGGAATTAATGCCAACGTTACAAACAAGATCGTGCTAATATCTGTATAAACGAATTCCTCGATTTACATGAGTTTAAGTCTATTTTTTTAAATAGTTTTGCGACTACTTACCTTACGGATAATTGTTAATGATTTACTGATAGTGAAGCCAGGGAAAATGTTAATGATGAAAGAATAGAGCCCAAGTAACATTGAAGAAAGCGAGAATATTCCTTATGAATAACGCAGATCTCAAAGATATGGCGTCAATTTCAGGTCTTCTCAGAGCAAATGACTAAATGATGAATTTCCTCCAAATATACAGCCATATGACACTTAGCTTATATTCTCAATAACCGCTATTATTATTGATATTATTTTATTCATTTCATTTTAGCAGCCGTTTTCGTTTCACATACCCCAGCCAACTCAACTGGCAATTGCGCGCCGATGTCACGTCTGTTACAGGTCGCCCGACTGTCTGGGGCCCAACAAGAGCGACGTCCGGGCCGCTCGAGTAGCATTTCGATTTTATATACGATGGCCTTTATCGGAAGTTGATGGGTGATTACAGAAGATATGAAACGATACGTAGGCTCGATATGTATTACAGAGATGCGGACGGACAGGAACACATATAAAACAGATACAATTACATATATATATATATATATATATATATATATATATATATATATATATATATATATGTTTGCCTGCGTACGAATATATACATATGTCATTTCAGAAAGCTCTCACAATGAACTTCAAAGTACTTAAACTGACATATTTTACGGCTATATATATATAAATACATTGGCATATTTTACGGTTATATATATATATATATCTATATATATATATATATATATATATATATATATATATATATGGGCTTGAAAGTCGTATTTGTACATGGCTTTTCAGTGACTGATCATATATATGCACACACACACACACACACACACACATATATATATATATATATATATATATATATATATATATATATATATATATATATAAAGAGATAGACAGATAGATAAATAGATAGATAGATAGGGAGATAGATAGATAGACAGACAGACAGATAGATAATTATCCTTTTATTACGACTGTAAAAATATTTATACATGAGAATGTACTTCCATTTATTCAAATATGTAAATGCTTAGGTTCATCTATCAGAGCACGTGATTGAGTGTGGATCGGTGTGCATTTGCACCTATATAGATAAAAGCGATCGTTCTTACACATTTAGACCATTTTGATATATATATATATATATATATATATATATATATATATATATATATATATATATATGCAAATGTATGTGTGTGTGTGTGTTTGTAAGCTTCCTCTTATTCCAACATATATATATATGTATAAACTCATTATATTTCCAGATCAGCATTCCGATCACAAACTTTCCGCTGACATACAAGTGCGTGTTTTGTTTAAATTTCAATCTCAACTATGATCATGAAAATACCGTTTTAATAACGAAAAAGAAATATATTTTACTCAAACGAAGGTAACAGGAATGACGTATCCTCTACAATAAAATATGCAAGGGGCTATTTATTACTCATTTAGAAATATCTAAAGAGTCAGCTGTATAAAATTCACGGGTCATTAGTTTAAAATGGTTTCGATCGGGCGAAGCATGTAGGCCTTACGAAGGACTATTCGCCTTTCGTCCTGGTTATGACAATAAAGCAAGACCTCTGACCCGGAGGTTTTGAGGAGCGTGGAACCATCACTTAATTGCTGATGTTGCCAGATCCATTCTGACCCAGGGTGGTAGTACCTGTTAGGGTCCAAGTTACGGTCAAGTAGTTAACCCCCCAATCTAGTGTCAAAGCACCATGGAAGTGTAAAAATAGGTTTTAATACCAGCAATACATTTTTGTAAAAGGAAATTACCAGCAATAACTATCTTTTTGCTATTAAATGAACCATTGAGGTTGATATGCCGAAAAGCAAAACAAGCCAAAACGGAACCATTATTCGTCTGCAAACTGCCTGGACTGACGCTATATAAAGAAAGAAAGGACTGTACCAAATAGCAGTAACCACATCTCTTGATGACTTTCAAGAGCAGCAACAAGTAAAACGAATAGCACATTTAAGTCAAAGAGAAAATAATGACATAATCAATATGCTGACATTCCACAAACAAAATTTTCAAACAAAAGGCTAGTTAGGAAACCTCCACCAATACTGGAGAAAGTGTTAACAGTTCGTGGCGTTAAGAAACACCTGTTTCCCTTATTAAACGGAAAGATTTTACAAATGTCAACCGAAAGTAACGCTTGCTGTTAGGTCAACGAATGCCGAATGTTTCCTTATAAGGAAACGGCTAATATTAACATTACAATTACACTGGAGAACATTTTCGAAAAATAATTAGTTGTCTTATTTTTTATAATTGTTTCTTCCTAATTTGATGATGCTGAATTCAGAAATGCCCTCAAGTCATGTTTTTGTTGTTAAACAGGAAGAAGCCATCAGTAGTCAGCCATGATGTTTGTGTACTACCTGCCTTAATAGCTAGACTTCATGGTCTTGATGCATTCGTGGAATCTTTCTCCTTTCTTATCACTAATTGAACCAAGATTTTCAGTCCAGTAATCGAAAACTGGTTAACAGGTTCTGCACAAGTTCTTCATAATTGGACAACTTCCCATTTCCCAGGAAATCAGACACAACTGCAGCAGAAATAGTCCACGCTTCTTCAACGCTATGGTCTCCAAAAACTGTTCGTCCTTCGATAGCCGCCTAATCTATGGCTTGTCACACACAACGTCCTTAATTTTCTCACATTGGAAGGTTGGAATCTTCCTGCTTAGATATTTGAAACATCCTGGTCATTCCCAAAGACTGCACAATCTTGTTTTGCAAGCGGGGAAGCAAAACCTTCCTGGTATTAACCAGCAGCCCGTTTAAAACATTCTTAAAACATTGATTGTGAACTCCCTTTTCTCTGGCTATGTCTTCCGTATCCAGTGGTCACTTTTGTTCGACTGTTCAAAATTTCTTTATCAGACAATTCTTGATATGTAAGCGGGGAAGCAAAGCCTTCCTGATATTAAGCAGCGGCCCGTTTAAAAAAATTCTTCTTTCCAAGTTGGAACTTCTTTCTCTCTGACCATTTCTTCCGTATTCAATGGTCACTTTTTGTTCGACTCTCCCAAAGACTGCTTCATCAGCCCAATCTTATTAGCCAACGGGGAAACAACACCTTCCTGAGATTAACCGTTTAAAAAATTCTTCCCTCCTATTTTGAACTCCCTTCTCTCTGGCAATGTCCTCCGTATCCAATGGTCACTTTTTGTTCGACTGCTCCAAAAACATAAAAATATACTTGGTATGACCAACTTGTAGGCTAAAAAGCAATCCAATGATGTCCAAGATCCCGCATATCGTCCAGTTGTGCTCCTCATGCCGCATATTTTCACTCATTATTCTCATGCAGTTACAGTTTTCCTTTAGTCTTACATAATGCCATTTAGTGCTACATAATGTCCTTTAGTCATACATAATGTCCTTTAGCCTTACATAATGTCCTTTAGCCTTACATAATGTCATTTAGTTTTACATAATGTTCTTTAGTCATACATAATGTTCTTTAGCCTTACATAATGTCATTTAGTTTTACATAATGTTTTTATTTAGTCATACGTAATGTTCTTTAGCCTTACATAATGTTCTTTAGCCTTAAACAATGCCATTTAGCCTTACATAATGTCCTTTAGTCTTACATAAAGTCTCCAGTCGTCTAAATTGTATTCACACTTCATGAGAGCCACGTGGCCTTTAACAACATTGCAATAACCAATGATATTGAAGAATGGAAGCAGATCATTCGCTTGCTGCCTGTAATTCGCGAACTTGGTTCCTGGTGCAAGTAAGTTGTTTTCTGTTAAAAGTGACCCAAGCAATTGGGCGATTTTCTATGATAAATCTAGATAACCAACTAAATCATTTGTCTTTGCCTGTGTAAAAGGTTTTGGCAGCGCTTCCCCTTCCTCATAGTTTTCGTCTTCCAGGTTACCATTCTCCATCACTTCATTCTCATTATCACTATCATCAACAAAGGGCATGAACCCCCAGTGTCGGCAAATCCTCCGACTGTAGTACAAGTTGATTATTGGACGGCAGATATGGATAAACGATGTGACACTGAGTCTTAGAACTGAAACCAGATATATAAATCATGCAAATTAGCAGCCGTCATGACGTTTTTTTTTGTTTCCCTACACACCATAGCAATGCCAAAGATTAAGTGATATTTTTGGCCATTTGTCTCAGTACTTCAGCACATGTTTTACACACTATATCGGATACAAAGGCGTTGTTTTGATCACCTAATAAGGTAAATTTTCTTCACAAAATCTGTGATTTTGATTTGCTTCCTAGGTAAAGTGTAACATGCAGAAATATCGCAGAAGACATCGGGAATTATTTTAGCATTCCCTATCACAAGTGGCCATGTTTCTGGAATACAAAACAATACAAACAGAATTGTCAACATTTATAAAGTAAACAAATGCAGGTTTTTGATGGCAAATTTCGATGACGAGCATACGTAACATGAAACTCTTTCTACAGTTCTTTGACATTGCTTGACAAAAAGTGACGTTGACCTTCAAAATTAATAGTGCATTCAAAATACCAAGTTTAATAAGAAACAGTTAAAGGTTCAACAAAACATATCTTACTTGGTTTACTATGATATCTATATCTATAATTGTCAAAATGTGTGTCTGTATGTACGGGTGTGTGTGTGATCGGATGTTGTTTATGCGTTTCCACAGTTTTGATCTGATTTCGATTTTTTTGTTTGATAGATAATTCTTCAGTGCTGCTTTTGAGTCCAAATTGACTGCAAAAAAATACAACCTTGAAGGGGAAAATCGAAAAAACTGATTTTTAAAACCTTGCAAAAATTTAAAGTCTGTAACAAAAAGCGTACCATCAATTTAGAGAGTTGAACTCTAACGCAAATGATTATTAGAATTATAAAAAAAAATATTATAAATAAAAATTATGGTATATTATTATTATTATTATTATTATTATTATGACGGTCCATGGAAGAGGTTCCTTCCTTGCAAGATTGAGAATGTGAAAACGCCCCTTTACAAGGCCACCACTCATTCAAATTGTTACCCCACCACCATTTGAGCATGTGCCTCAGTTGTACCCAAATGTTGTTACTAATATTGATTTTCGGGTGGGCTGACTTTAAACTTAAACTGCTCCAATTGAACGGTAAATTTCCCAGTAATGAAAGACCCGGACGAAGACGGGTTATACTACAAGTTCACACTAAATTAAACACAGCGTTGACATACGTGTCGACAAATACAGCAAGTTTCACAAATATGATTACGTGTATGATGTCGAAAACCAGAGAAATAAGTTATTTATTAACATCTAATTGCATATAGTGCGTTTATGTTATCATCATGAAATTTAAAACCGGTTCTGCTGAAATTAGAAAAAAATTTCTCAGGTTTGATGTCTTTTACTTTTGTTTTACTTTTTGCCGCTACATTTGCTTTAAATGTCATTGAGAAATGATGTCCTCGCAGACATGTCAACCTCCATACATGGGTTTGCATATGACGAAGCCAAATCTATTCTCAGAAATGGTGAAAATATTTGAAATGTTGAAAAATGGACATTTGAGTTTGTGAAAAATTTTGATAAAGAAAAATGGATTTCATTTTTTATATGCGTACACCAAATTTAGAAGCGATTATGTCCAGGACGAGGTACGGTGGAGTAATGGATAGCGGCTGGGATTGAGTAATCGGAGAGCCGAGTTCGAATTCCATTCGAATCAATTACATTCACTTATGTGTTTATGTGAGAAAATGTTGAAACTTGACTAATGCATAGAATAATAATGCAACACAAAATGTACTTAGAACAAAATGTATTGAAACAAGAAAGTGTACACAATATTTACATATAGTCTTTTGTATATTCCTGGTAAGACGTTCCTGGAGAATGACTGAGTCGCAGTCGGGCAGAGTCTCTGGTTGAATCTCTTGATTCCTCCCTCTCTTCCCGGTACCAACCATATTTATATGGTCGGTACTACACTATGCAAATTAGGTG